GTGGTCTTAATTGTGAATAATTGACTATTGAGGTATCAACTAATTATAGATATTAAGTGTAGAGACCATTATATAATTTCTATTTCGTTAAAGGACCGAAATAGGTCCAATTTGGAGATATATTTAACTCCACTTATGGCTGAAACACTCAAACTGGGAACTCCTGGTTTATGTCGGGCCACATGCATCACTGAATTTGGAGTGCCCATTTTTAAACCACTATAATGACAGAATTAGATGGCTGAGTTCTTCATTAAAAGTTGTTGGCCCTGTGTCGTTGAGAATTCTCTCGTTCTAGATTGGTTTAATCTTGGAGTTTTGGTTTAGTAGGAATTCAATTAAACAAATGGACTTGTTTCTGCTGAAATCAGGTCTAGTCTGATTTAGTTTGTTTCCTAGCTTTGTTTTCTTTTCTTCCATATTGATTCTAGGCTGTGATCCCTTTCAATAACATTTTGTAGGCTTTTGTCTTTAGCTTTCTAAATGACTCTGATTTTCATTTAATTGGCAGACCCATAACTCAAGTTATGTTTTAAAAAACACAGCAAAAGGTCCAATAGTTAATTTTATATTGGAATTTTTCTAATGTTAAGTCATTTTGTTTAAGTATTGAGAATTTTATGAATTACTTAAGTTTAAATTAAGTTTTATTATGGAAGACTAAAGAAAATGAATTCTTTATGAAGAAAATGTTTTTGGGCTCTAATATACTTGGTGTGGATTTTATGCTGATTTGATTTTATTATGTATGATTGAGATGCTCGGGCATTTGATGCCATTATTGATAAGAAGCTATGATCAAATGCTAGGCACGTGGGTGTCTTATGTTAGGGCGGACGCCGCTCTATATGTTATGATAACGTTGGCGACCTAAAGGCCATTGGATGAATAAGCTAATGAAACTTATCTGCTTCTTTTTTCTTCCTAAAGTGTATGTTGAGCCCTTGTAAAAATATTTTTAAGGAAGGTGAAATAAATAGATCACATTAATGTTAATAAACTCTTAGTTTACCATAACGTATTTATTGATATCAAATGAATTTTTAAAGCATGATGTGTTGTGTACATATGTTAATACTGTTCACAATTTAATTGATTTTATGTATATAAATGATTTTTATTATATAGCTATTGATATAGATACTTTATATACTAATCTGATACTCGGTGGTGATTGTGTTTATTAAATTGATACCACCCACTGAAGAATAATTGGCGTGACATCCAGCGCGTGGAATTATTATACACAGGACGCTGGAGAATGGCTTGCGCTCATTACAAAACCTGAAAAGAGTATATCAGAGCTGAAGAGCATATGTTGGTAGTTACTTAGTATGTTTTTTTTTTTTTTTTTTTTTTTTGTAAACTAAGAATTATGGCATATGTATAAACTATTACATTTTTTGGAGGACTGTATTAGTTAATTTATACTTAAGGCATATTTTTGTAAAATTATTTTGTGTATATATTGGGAGATAAACTTGGACTTATAATTGGTTTAGAACATTTAGAATTGATATGTTAAATGAATGTATTGAATTGATGGAATATTATAATGTTATTGGGATATGAAATGAATAGAAGTGCCTATTGTGTTGTTATTGGAGTTTGAGGGGTTTGGAGTTTGAATTCGGAGTTGCTTTTGTATTCATAATGTTTTGCAACTTCTATTTTTTAGGGGAAACTCTTGCAATTTTCAATATATGGACCTCTCCCAAATCATTTTTCAAAACCCAAAATATTATTACGTGCTAAACTTATGTAATACTAAGTTCACTTCTAAATTCATTAATAATGATTGTAATGATCTTTAGTGTATGATTTATATGTAGGTTAGGATGGTGCCTCCGGCACCGAATGTGGCATCCTCCGTCGGGTCTTTCGGGATCGGGCGGCGGGTGTTACATCAGAGCCTAGCACGGGCGTGCTACTATGGTTTGGCTCGAAAATAAGAGTCAGAGCCTAGCATGGGCGTGCTTGTTGTGAGGCACGGGCGTGCTGACTTCTGTCCTACCTTATCCCACAAAATATAACCCAATTTAGGAAGGATATAGGCTTTATCTAGGATAAGTTTAGGTTCCAACAGTCCCACAAGGTGATTAATAGCTAGTTAATTATAACTAGTATAAATTCTCAATAATTGCAACAATCATTTTTTTTTTTTTAATTAGGCAAACCTAAGGTCTTTCTTTGTTTTTTTTTTTTTTTTTTTTTTTTTTTTTTTATTTTTCTTTGTTTTTTAAATAGGCAAAATGTAAGGTCTCAAGCTTCCATATTCTTTTTTTTTTACTAGCATCAAGGAAAAAATCGTAGCAAACAACAAACAAGACACATAGAACATGATAACTTCAAGTTTTTTTTTTTTTTTTTTTTTGTTTTTAAATAGGCAAATGTAAGGTCTCAAGCTTCCATATTCTTTTTTTTTTCTGATCAAGGAAAACGTAGCAACAACAAACAAGACACATAGAACCCATGATAATTCAGATTTAGATCTAATTCAAACACTAAGGCTAACACAAGGAAATCAAGAAATGAGAAAACTCAAAACCCTAAAACTAAGATATCAGAACTTACCTTTAATCTTTGATTTGGCTCTGATACCAAATGACGCAGAACCCAAAGGAAATGAATTCCTAAAATCCCTAATCAAATGGATCGGATAAAAGATCAAGATGAAGTTCGCCTCTATGGTACCCCTCGTTTATAATGAAACGGAAACACCAATAATCGAGATTTAAGAACAATATAAACGCCACAACAACTTGATAAGTCTACCTTAATTCTTGATGCAATTAGAGGAAGCAATCTCTCACTATCACTCTAAGCAAAGGAAACATGCAAAGCATGAACAATTTCTATATTTCAATTTGATCAAAAGTTTTTGTTTACAAAGAAGACAATAGTATTTATACTAGAAACTAACATAATTGGGCTAACCTAATAGACTATGACCTAATAACAAAAGCCCATACAAATATAAACAAAATAGCTAACCAAATAAAGCATAAAAGAATAAAGATCACGTCCAAGTCAGACCCTAACACGCTCAGGGCGTGCTACCTAGCACCCCCGTCCTACAAGCGGTAGACTTTAGCACCCCCAGGGTGTGCTACTCAGCACGGCCGTGCCACACCATCAGCATATGCCTCCAAATTGTAAGAAGCATAGGTGCGCCTTTAAGTTCCACACAACACTTGTTAAATGCTTGGACATGAAGCTCTTGTGAAACTTGGTCTTGAACATATGAAGTCATGGCTACCCCATATCGATTGGCACGGCTCCGTGTAATTGGTCCACTAAGAAGCACAAGTGGATCTCCTATGTTGTTCCCCATGCTTCCTTGAGCTCCGTTGATGATGCTTCTTTGAGCTCCATTGACGAGTGGTGGCAGATCCGTATCACAAAATAAAACTCTTACCAAAGTAAAAGACTTTTAATCCGAGAATCAATGAATGAGTCTAATAAAGAAAATCACTTTTTCAAAATAAAATGAACCAAGCTCGTTCCTTTTTTTCTTCGCAAAAATTATAGCATCCTCAGCGGCTATCCGTGAATTTTAAACGTATGCATTCTAAACCCATTTAAATACTCTTTTAAGTACCCGTATCGAGCCCGTTTAAATTTTACTACCTGTATCTTTTCAAAACTCATTTAAAGTACCTCTACCTGTATCTTTTCAAAACTCGTTTAAAGTACCTCTTAAACAGGTACGGTGCCAGCGAATCTTAAACTATTCAAATTTGAATTTATTTAGAATAAATTTTTTACTGATAATGGATAGGGCACCTGCAGATACCCACTACTGAACCTGTTTAATATAGCGGTTAATGGGTAGCGGGTATCCAAATATCCATTACGTGTATTACATGTACCCTACCTGTAGTAATTTGACTACCCATATCTGTTCCAAACCCTTTTATAACCATCCATATCCTCTTTAAACGGATCAGAGCAAAGTGGATAGCCCTTAAGATGTAAAACAATGTATTAAGTATTAGATTAGTTTCCAATTAGTTCATGTACTGAGAATTTGGTATTTTGACAAACATTAACATTAATGGTACTACAAATTTTCAGAATTAATTTGATTGTTTTTTGAAATTTTTATGCGTTTATTTCAATTAAATAATGATTTAATCAAATAAACGAATTGAAAAAGTTTTGAAATAGTCAAATAATTGAAGAATATAATCTGCCATTGTTGTGGCTGAACCACTAGGCTCTGTGAGCCACAAGCGACGAGCGGTGCATCAGTTTTAAATTAATTTAAAACTGCCTCCTTATGCAAGCTCTGGCAATTATCGCAGGTCCTGGCTAATGATGGTTGCTGGTTTTTGATTTTAAATAAATAAATAATAATAATAATAATAATAATAATAATAATAATAAAGTTTATTTATTTAAATCTACAATTTTCCAACGAGACAGTCATCGTTCAGTCAAGAGATGAGAAGCTTATAGTCTTCTAACCATATCGTGACTGTTCTAAGAGCATAGGATGGCACTGTCACTAGTCATTGCAAACCTTTCACTGTCGGCGGTGATAAGATTTTAATAAAGAAAAAAAAGAGGATTTTGGAGAAGATGACACATTTACGTTTTGGTCTCTCATTGTTTTAATGTTTTTTAATTGCGTTTCAAAATCTTTTAATTTGTTCAATTAGATCCTGAAATTAATTTTGATCAGATATATAAAAATTACTATAATTTCATCAAAGTCAATCAAAATCTATAAAAAAAGTCTCACCAATTCCATAAAATTATATATAGAATTCTAATGGAACGTGGAGAAATCTGAGGAAATCTTTCAATACTTTAAACTCAAATTCTTTTAAAATCTTACACAATCCTATTCCAATACATCCCTTAAAAGTAGTATAAAATTGATTTGGTTAATTAGGTTGATTCCTAGGCATTATTTGATTTGATTTATTTTTCATTTTTGGTTTGCAAGATTTGCTTCGGTTTATTTTCGATTTGAACTCACCCACTGGATACTCACCTTTTAAGAACGAGTGGCCAAGTAATCTGGGCATTTAACAAAACATGGCTTCCATTAGTGCTTCTGCTCCACCTCTTCACCTCTCTTCCCTTTCCGTGGTCACTTTCACTGCCAACCGAAGACACATTCTCTCAGTATTGTTCATTAATATTTTCTCTTTTTTCCTTTTTTGCTTTTTCTTGCTACTCAAACAGCAACGTTGATGTCCTTCAGGTTCTTAGCTCAGTTAGGAATAGGAAGAGTCTAGTAGGAGTTGCCTGCTGTAGTAACGGCGGAATTTAGAATATGGGCAAGGTGCACCTCTCTCCTTCTGTGTTTGTCTTTTGACTGGCAATATACATTCTTATAATTCCCTTCTTATAGTCTTGAATTACAGGTGCATTTGATCCTGATCTTCGATCAGTGCTTGAACTCGCCACTGAGCCGGAGTTGTATGAGCTTGAGAGAATCCTTTTTGGTCCCAGGTTTTGATTTCAAACTCAAATTCGAGATTTGATTTTGTCTTCCATGTACATTTTCCAAACTTTTCATTTTTATACGTTCAGTTACTTCAGTCCCTTGCTAAAATCCGTAACAAAGAGGAGAGTAGACATTGATTATGCTGTAATCGAAGAAGACCTAGAAGAGCGGGAAGCTTTTATTGCAGCTCTCGAATCCCGGTTCTTATTCCTTGCCGCAGATGCCAGGTCTACATTGAGGTACTTGAACTTGATTTTTTTATGGTAGACAGTGTGATTATGCTGGATAAAATCGAAGAAGACCTAGAAGGGCGGGCAAGCTTTTATTTTGCAGCTCTCGAAAATCCCGGTTCTGTATCCTTTGCCCGCAGATGCCAGGTCTACATTGAGGTACTTTGAACTTGATTTTTTATGGTTATTAGCTGAGGCGACTTCGTGGATTTTTCCAATGAGAACCATGTTGAGGTACTTGAACTTGATTTTTTTATGGTTATTAGCTGAGGACTTCGTGATTTTCCAATGACCATGTGCTATCACTAATTCTGTAATTTTTGCCAACTTCTTTGATTCGACTAGACATTCACCGTATGGCAATTAAATGAACACAGGAATAGTACATGTATATAAAAATGGGTATATCTCCTATAATCTGTAGCCTAATTGAATTTTTATGGCTATTAACGGAGGGCCTCAATATTTTCCAATGTTCATGAATCTAGGTGCACACCCAAGTCAGGTTGAGCTCTGATTTGATCTACTATGTGAAATTGATTTAAGAACTTGTACCTCAAAAGTTGAACTTGATCGAGATATATTCTTCATACTCGAAACTCACCATTAAAAACTCAACCCAAGTTTTTGGTTGATCTGGAATTCAAGCTTGAACGAACTTGAGTGAGCTTCACTTTTTGCTCAAACTAGAGGTTTGTCTTTTCATCAGGGTAAGTTGAAACATGACAAGTAATTATTTGAATGTTATACATTATTCATATATACAACAACACAACTAAGTCTTATTCCCAGCTAGTTGGATTTGATGCTTCCGAGTTGCTCGTTTAGCGTTAATTTTTTAGAAAGACCAAGTATGTCTATATCTTTCTCAATCACTTCCTCTCATGTCATCTTGGGTTTTCCTGTCCTTTCGTAGTCTCATCTACTTTAAGATGCTTTATTTCCCTAATGAGGACTACGAGCAGTCTATGACATGTGGTTTGACCACCTTAATATTCCTTCTCTCATTTTATGCTCGATGGATGCCATTCCTACCTTCTCACAAATACATTCATTTTGAATTTTGTCCAATCTCATGTGACCATAGAGACACTCATCCTATCTTTGTGATTTTCCTTTAATGCCCAACACTCATTACTATACATCTTTGCTGGTTGAATTGCAGTTTCATGAAACTTGTCTTAAGCTTTTTGGGTGTTTTGCTTTGTCACATAAAACTCCATTAGCATTGTCATTTTATCCATCATGCTTTAATCAAGTACTGCAATAAAAGATCGTTCTATGATTAAACCTCTAAAAGATAAAGAAAATTTAGTCCAAAACCTTAAAATAATAAGATTCGACGCAGAGCCTTATGATAAAATAAACACAATTTATTAAAGAAAATTCATAATAACAATAATTGTTCATTTATGGTATTGGTTTCTAGGGGTAATTATAGCGTCACAAATTATTATATATACTAAAGAGCATGGAGAAATCACTATTGCCACAATAGTGATTTTTCCGTTCAACCCTTGTTTGTTTTAAATTATAATACTACCCTTTCGCTTTAGCCCTTCGATATCTTTCTAATTACAGTAATGCCATTTTGCTACCAATCGACAATTCTACACTTATGGCTTCAATTTGTACAATATTATCCTTTGATTATTTAATACTTCCTTTATGTTAAAGTAAAAAATATATGAGAAATTTTTGAAAGGTAATTCATAAATCATTAAAAATTATATTACTTATTAGGTAGAATTTGAGAAATTTAAAACACAAAAAATAGTACATTTTTATATATTTAATAAATTTTCATAGTAATAAGTGATAAAATAAAAAAAAATACTAAATGTGGATTTTATGCTTATCATAAGAACAAATACATACAATTAAAGCTATAAATAAAAATTTGAGAGCACAATGTGAAATAAAAATAAAATAGATCAAATACAATAAGTTTAATAGCTTTAAGATGATTACAACAAAATATTTATCTTACTCAAAATATACACAATCTTTAAATACCATATCAAATTTAACAATCAACTATTTTTCTTGATTAATTAAAGTGTTTAAAATACAATTTCTATACCTCATAATTTTCTAAAATTGTAAAATTACAATGATTTTACCTTAAATCCTACAACTCAAATAGCCTCTAAAATAATCAAATATCCAACTATTTATAATTTTTTTAAAAAAAATTGTATTTATTCAATATAGCTTTTACATATTGTATCGTCCATTCCATCACTTCTTTCAAAAAAGAAAATTAAATATAATATTTTCACCTTTCTGACTATATTACCTTTTCTTTAAGAAAAAAATTTGGCAACACGCTCGCAATAAACAATTAGGAGTAAAATTACTAACCTCAACCTAATTATGAATAAATATAACTTCCTAAACTATAAGAACTTGATTTACAATAGGAAATCAAGAAAATAATAATTTTAATTAAAACGGGAAATAAATAAAATAGGAATACAAACTAAAATTAAATTTTGAAAATCCAAACTTCTGAAATGAGCTTTAAGGACATGACACAACTGTGCTGGGCTAGACACGGGAGTGTTGAGTGTGACGATTGGCGTGCTGAACCAGACACTGGATCATATATTTGAGGATTCAGATCAGTATTGTTAATTGAAGATCCAGACCTTGACGGAGGACGGTGCCATTAATTGAATCCGCGTCTGTGGATGCTTAGCCACTTGGTCAAAGGTTTCATTTTTTTATTTTTTGTATTTTCAATTGTCTGTTTCCTTTTTGTTTTTTTTCTTTTCCTTGATGGGATTGTACAGAGGTGGTATTTAAATTATTTCTTATTTTTTCATTTTTTGATTTTGGATTATGATGGTGGATTGTGGTTAGGATTCTTGAAACTTAGTTGAATGATGAGCTATAATGGTGGGTTGGATTTGATTTACTGGACGTAGTAGTTTTTATGGAGTCTTTCCGTTTGATATTTTTTTAGAATTTGTATAGCTGGAAAAATGAAGATTTGGAAAGAGGGAAGAGGAGAAAAAGGATACTGGCTTTAATTTTGTCTTATCAAAATAGTATTTTAGTCTTTCATTAAACATTTAATGGAAAAAATCATTAAAATTAGACGGAAAGACCACTTAATGAGATAAAATCAAACATCGGGACCAAATAACTAATATATAAAAATACGAGAACGAGATAATTAATTTTGTAAAACGTCAGGGACAAAATAATTATTTTCCATTATCCTATTTTCTTTCTTCATCCATTTCAAATTGTTGTCCTATTTCCTTTTTTGAAAGTGAATAAGATTTACGCTTCATTTGATATCAATGAATTCAAAATATAGATTCATTTGTGAATGAATTTTCATGTTTGATATGATTACTTCAAAATATAGAATTCTTCCATTTCAAATTGTTGTCCTATTTGCTTTTTTGAAGTGAATAAGATTTATGCTCTGTTTGATATAATGAAATATAGAATTCATTTCTAAATGAATTTTCATATTTTGTATGATTAATTAAAAATATATAATTCAATTAAATTCCACGTAATCATATATGGAATAAATTCATCTTGAAAATTCATTTATTTTTGTTTCATAAAATATCTCTGAAATAGTAATTTCACAAAAATATATAATAGATACCAATTATATTTATGTTATGCTATATAATTTTTTATATATATTTTTAAATAAATGTATAAAACAAAAATAATAGTAATAACATTATAATATTTTTTATGTTATGCTATATAATTTTTTATATATATTTTTAAATAAATGTATAAAACAAAAATAATAGTAATAACATTATTGTGTTTAATTCACTGATAAATGTAAATTTAACTGGGAATCTTTCTCCTTAATAGTAAAAAAATAATAAGAAGAAATATTAAAATAAACACAATAATAAGAAATATTTTTCTAAAAAAATAAAATTTTTAAGTGGTTTTGGTCAAGTTTCATAAATAAATAGGTTAAATAAGTAAAAAAAATTGAAAAATTGACTTTGAATAAGGAGAAAGTTAATTTTGTCATAAAAAGTTGGATGGCTTAGTTTTATGAAATTCATTTGAAAATTTCACATATTTTTCTGGAATTTGGTGTAGTTATGTTCAATTCCATAAAATCGAATTCCTTAGAATTGAAATCTTTTTTTTTTTATCGAATTCCTTAGAATTGAGAAATTCATTTGAAAATTTCACATATTTTTCTGGAATTTGGTGTAGTTATGTTCAATTCCATAAAATCGAATTCCTTAGAATTGAAATCTTTTTTTTTTTTATTCCAGACATAAAAATATGAATTTCTAACAAGAGGTTAAAGTTTACTATCCTTATTTAATATGTTTTCTTTGCCAATAAATAAAATAGTCAAATTACTACATTATTACTATTTTTGAGTATTAAGTAAATCTTAATATAAACAAAATTGGCATATCAAGTTTTTAATCTTACAATAGAACTTTATTAAAATCAAATGTTTTATTAATTTTAGAACAATTTAATATGAGTCATTTAATTTTTGTGGATGCGAACATAAGGGTATATGAGAAAAAAGTAAAGTAAAAATTATAGTTTAACCATATTAATTAAATTTTCTTAATTCATGCGCAAGTCAAACCTGAACACTAATTATGGGATGCAAGAAATATTAAAATAGAATGGTTTCATAAAATGTGGTTTTGAATGATTAGTTCCTTATTATCGTACTGCGAATTAGGAAATTTATTTGTTAGTATTGTTTGCTAGCAAGAACAAGCAACGAATCAACAGTTAGCTGACAGTTTGAATTGAAATTTGCTAGGGTGCTAACCTGTTAGGTGTGTACTGCACCAACTAAAAAATGTAAATTTGTTTAATCTGACTTCTAGATTGTGAGTTAACTCCACAGATATACATTTCACCAGCTGTTCGATTAAAGTAAAAATTGAGCAAAAGAATTATAAAAGAAATCTCTGATTGCTTATAAAGTAAAGAAAGTTAAATTGCTTGAAAAGTAAAAAAAGTTTGATTGCTTGAGTTTGATTTGTTTTGTTTGAATTCGTCGGAGAATTTAGTTAAGACTTTCTACATCATCTCATTGCTTCTTTTATAATTTCCAAAGTCAGTTACCGAAAAATCCACAGAAACACGTTCTCATAACTAGCCCATTTGCTTTCTCACCTTCTTCTATATGTTAATAACCGAGGAGTGTCATCGTTAGCCTACTTATTTATCTCTTTCTTTGTAATTAATAAAATTAATTATTAATTAAATATCCAATAAGCCAAATTTAAAATATAAAGCCTAAATTCAAAAATCAAAAAATGAGTTAAACAATTAGGAATTGTGCTATAATGCCTTATTCAATATAAATAAAGTTAAATTATAGAATTCAAAATTTATAAAAACTTACAATAAATGGATTTAAAAAAAAAAAGTTGTGATAAACTAATATAAATGAACTCGAACTCAAACATTCATTTATAAAAATTTCAAACAGTAAATAAAATCAACATTTTCAATCCAACAAGTTGATTGACATAGTAAGGATAAAAATATTTCTTCTTACCAATTAGAATTTAAATTCAAATTATTAATAATATTTTAAAATGTAACAAAATGATCCCGGCAGCTCAAGCCCGTGACCTTCGACTCATAAGACCAATACTCCAACCAATTGAACTACAAAACCTCAAACATTAATAACATAATAAACATTTGAGGATAAAAAAGCTAATACTTTTAAATAACAACTTAAAAACTAT